TCTCTCTCTCTCTCTCTCTCTCTTTCTCTCTGTCTCTCACGGTATCACCCCCCCTTCCACTCAGACTCCATCTGTGTCTCTCACACCTTGTCTGAACTGCGTCACAATTCCCCACAACAGCATCAGCCTCTTCTTTCTGTGTCCTCCCACGGCCACCTCTCAACATAATTTATATATCTGGAAATAAGATTTTGCCGTTTTAAGACAAAGTGGTTAAACGCATTCGTGATGGAGAGGGAGAGAGAAAGGATGAGACATAGAGAGAAGAAAAAAGAGAAGCATAGAGAAACAGTGAGAGAGTAAAGAGGAATGAAGAGAGAAAGGCTGAAAGAGACTATTGACTATTGACTTACTCCCTTCTACATTTTAAATCGGTTGTATTTTCCAAAACTTAATTTTGGGGTCATATTTCTTAGCTGGTCTTTAGGGGAAGTTTTAGAAGATGTAACAAAGATTTGTCCTGTTGTATATTTTCAATAAGGAAAAAGATATTATGGCTTTGCTTGAATCTATCCTGGGTGATTATATCACTGTGTCTGTACAAACGTAAATGGAAATGCCTCTGCAATGAATGGGTTGAAGCAAGGGTTATTTGTCTTGTTTAAGAACTCGCCACAGTAGGAAACCACCTAAATGCCATGCCGCCGATGTGTTGTGCTTGATATCAGTCTGAGTTTGAGTCCAGTAAGCCACCAGAACGCTGAGAGCTGCTGAAATATACAGGGCACATCGAGCTTGTAACATCAATTGGAACAAAAATCAATAGACGAATAATACAAGACAACCTGGTACGGTGAGAGAAACACGCACTTCCCTTTTAGTGGGAAAATTCGATTAAGAAGGTTGTTATAAAGCGGAGAATTAATGTATACAAGACCACGAGAATCGCGAGATTTCCGAGGCGGTGATGATATTATAATAGAATCCAAAATGGCAGCGAGATAATAGGGGCAGGGGTAGTGGTAGAAACTGTTCTCATATTAAACCACAACAAAGAGGAGACTGAGTGTATGTGACAATAAATATGTTGCAAGCATTGAGCTAACGTGAGCTCCTTCACTGATATCAGGAACACTGGTGTCTCACCGTCCTGTCGGTGCCTATCACGACAGCCGTCATGATGAAGCTGTACAGACCCCTGTGCTCTGACGTAACGTTGAGGTAATATTGTTGTTGTCGTCGTCGTTATGTGTATTATCGTCCTGGTTATTTATGTCTTTTCCTTCCCTACACACCTTCTGTTTCAGTAAGGACATTTTCAGAAGTTATCAGGAGGCAAAGCCCTGGAAAAAAACAGGGTTCCAGAGATGTAGCAAAAATCATTTTATTTTACTTTCAGAGGTACGAGTGTTATAATATTGGCCTTCATTCGTAGTTATTATTTCATTGTATGTAAAGGTCCTGTTTTTGTCCAAAGAGTTACCATGTTATGGCATGTTTATAACGAGTGGGGGTGTGGGTGTATGGGTGAGAGGGGGATGGAGGTAGGGGTAAGAATGTGACGTTTTGAAATAAATGCTTTATTGGGTGTTTTTTGTGTAATGGGATCTGCACACTGTCCATTTCCTTCCAATGTTGAAACTGATCTTATTTCGTCTAATTAATGCTACCATATATTATACTATGATTTGTGTTTGGGTTATGAGTGAAGGAGATTGGCGCCTTAAAGTACATTTTAAATGAATATTTAGAATTGTTAAGTTCTCTTGCGGTGTTTTCCTACTTACAATCGTATGGCTCTAACGTTTCGATACTCTTAATCCTGTCATCTTAGTTTATCAATGTATTTCTCTCATTTTCTCCCTCTCTCTCTCTCTCTCTCTCTCTCTCTCTCTCTC